AAATTTAATGTACATTTTCTCTGTGCTCTTCTCTAGCTCACTTCAAAATACCATTAAAATCACACGAGTTGCAATAGCTGTACCGAGCAGAACAGTGAGAAAGGTGACATTATGTCTCTCAAAAATAATTAAATTTGTATCAGAGAAGCATTTTATCTTCATTGAAATTGAATTCCATCCTATGAACAGAAACTACTGGAAGCCTGCCTGTATATGGACTTCAGGACTGATACCAGAACTTGAAAACAGAGTTGACAACTCCCCAGCATTTCTTTGTTCTTCTCTCTGTATGATATACACACACAAAAAGTTTGAATACTAGAGTTTAGAAGACTTCACAAACAGTCTGAACTACAAACTTCTCAGCAGGTTGTGTCTTTGCAATGCATAGGCATTAAGAATTACAGACTCCAAAATACAAATATACTTCTTATAGATTTCATTTATATCTACTTCATAAAGAGGGAGCTCAGCTGTAAGACTGGAGTGTCTAATTTGAGCAGCATGGTTGGCTCGCTTAGTTTTGATGTCAGGACTATTTCTCACCACAGATTGCATAGAAAGTCTAACTCTGACAGCTGAGGAAACTGGCAGACTACATCACTTGTTCTTTTGAACTACATGTCACAGCACCCAATGCAGCATAGTACATGAAGGAGACACTTTCACTCCTTAGCTCTGTGCCTCTACAGAAGCCTCTGAGCAGGCAGCTTTAAGACAAGAACCCTACTTTTTTGCTATTAACCTTTGTCAGACCTTCCAGGGCTAGCACAGCAAGCTACACTCTGTTTTGCTTTATGTATTTTCAGTAGAATCAGTAATGATAAATGAGTTGGGGAAAAAAATTAGACTGACGGTATTGGATCTCAGAGCATGAAGTACATATTTTTAAGATGGAGAAGAAACACAGAACTGTCCATAGGAGAAAACTACAAATTTTATATAGAGGGATCATAAGGGACTGCTTTCATGAGGTCACCGATGCATTTAGTCCCCTGGTACTAAATCAAACAGATTCTTTAAATGTAAGCATTTCAAGCTTAAGATATTGAAAAAGGATTCATAACCATTTAATTAAATATCTGAAGAAAGAAATATACGTCCAGTGTGGATGATGCAATTGATTTAGTAATGGGAGATTTTAGACTTAAGCAGCACAGCTGTATTTCCTTCCAAAGCAGAAAACAGAGCAGACTGAAAAAGGATGATTCTGTTACATGCAAAGTCTTCAGATGAGTATGTTTTCTGAAGCAAGATTTCAGTCCATTGGGACCAAATAGAAGAATTATAAAGGAGAAATATTTGACAGCAATTTTGCTTAAGAAATCATATAAAATACATTTTGAAACACACATGAAATATGCTATCTGCTGCCAGTAACATTACGTTACTGGCTACTTAAAACTGGGCTCTCAAGCTTCCCGATGCAAATCCAGAGATGTCTGGAAAAACTGTCTGCTCAGATTCTCAGGGTTGCCAAGCATGAAGTAGTTTAGCTGGCAAGTTTGCCTTAGTGTTAACAATCTTGGAAAATTTAGGTTTCACTGTCATTATGCCAGTGAATGGCATATATTAAGTAGGAAAAAAGATAAACAGCAATCCTTAAGCATGCATTACTTGTGGTGTCAAAGTATATGAAAGTGAATACTATGAAATTATTCTATGTAACATTTAAGCTTGGCCATATAAATGCTACAAAGACTGTTCACATGATTACAGTTAATTCCTTAGTGACCAAGATCTAAAAAGAAGATGTATTTAATTCTATCTAAATCATCACATCAAGCCTTTCTTTTGAGTATATGGCATAAACAGCTGTCTTTGAACCCTAGAATAATGTGACATGGTAATGTGTAGCTTTATTACGTAAAAAATAAACATTGTCTAATTAATGTAAAATAGATTTTTGGCACAGACACGTCAGGTTTAATTTCTGTTAAGAAAACAGTAACTCTTTTCTGTCATTGCTATGTAAACAGCCTTGGCATACATTACAAGAAGCTTACAGTATTACTCAATGTGAAAACTCTTTACAAGTAAAAGAGGGAGGGTTTTTTTTGGTTCAGAGTAACTAACACAGCTAAACCTTTAAGAAATATTCCCAAAGGCAGTTTAAAGAGATTTGTTGTTTGCAGAAGGCACTGTTACTGTTTAAAGTTAATAGAATGATTTCTAAATTATTTAATTAGGTAGGGAGTAATCACTTGTCTGCTTTGTTGGAGGTATGAATTATACAGGATTTAAACATTCTGGTTTGGAAAAGAAACCAACAAATTTGGTTTAGACAAAAAACACACAACAGAATTCATAGCATAACTTAATGCAAGCACTTTTTCTCAGGCTTCTGAGATGCCATCATGTAGGGGACAGAGCAATCTGCGGACAGAAAGGAGTGATTATTCATGGTTTCAATCTGAATATGAACCCTTGGAAATAAGTAGACAGAAGAGAGAGAGAGAAGAGAGAAAAAAAGATTTTTAATTTCTTCCTTTCTCTGTCTGAAGACCAAGCCTTTCAAATTTTTCACATTATTCTTTAAAGAAGATTGAAGTTGCTACAAGAGGCAGAACTTATCACTGTGGGCTCAGCTCTGCTCTAATGAATGGTTATTAGATGTAGCATCACAAATTTTATGTATGCTTATGTCTGCACAGATAATCTATATGTACAGCAAACGCTTAGGGTTGATCACATACACAAAACTATATGAAGTTAATAGATGGTGGGCTTTGTATTTTTCATGCAACCACCGCCCAAGTTTGTTGTTTGTAACATTCAGAGCCCTTACTGAAACTGATCTGTAATCAAACCCTTTGCTGAAAGGCTTAGAAATATCTGGAGAATATTAATACATATAAAATCTAAATAATTGCATCAAATAAGAGCCTAACATTAAAACAAACAAACAAAAAGAATAAATTATTCTGCCCTGTTGTTAAGTGGAAAACAGCATCTTCTCTTCTATTTGTATTCTTCATTTTCCATTCAGGATTGCAAATGGAAAAAGAGAAATATTTGTCTTGGATTCATATTTTTAATTAAAATATCTTATTATTTACCACAGTCTATAGCTTCAGGAGATGCATGACTTCCAAAAGAACTTGTTAAATCCACAATGAATCATCCAAATTCAGGTCTTAGTGTAACAGCCTCCTCTTACAGTCTACCATTTAGCAACTACAAATGTAGGAAAGCAGAAAAAAAAAACAAAAAATAGGATTCCCAAAAGCCAATGGAGAGATCTCTGAATGACAAGTAGATTCTTCCTTCTAGAAGCCATTCTAGCAGCTGTTTCTCCCAGCCTAGCCACATTGTAGGAAAGGAAAAAGCAGGGAGTCAAATCTTTTTTCCCCCCTCTTTTCATGAAGATTGTGCACGGGGCTGAGTCCATGGCCTTTACTTAAGTATGATCATGTGAACTCAAAGTTCCTTCAAGACTTACCTCCTGGAGCTGCTTCTTTAGTATGGATTGTTAATCCTGCAGGCCCATATGATGTGAGAAGAGGGCAATGACAACATCCCCTCAAGCACACTTGGCAGGACACTGCAAAGAGGAGTTTAGCCTTCAAAGCTAGCGTGGCCCAACTCAGGCTTTGGGAAGAAAGACACTTCTCTTACCGCCTTAGCCACAGACATGCCTGTCTGAGCCCCACCAAATCCATTCCCACCCTCATCCCACCACACCTCCCCAACCTTCCGAGCAGCAAATTCCAAATGAATTCTCCTGTTTCTGCCACAGTGATAAGTCTGGCACTCGAAAGCCTTTAGAAGCAGCAGCAGACATTGCTGCCTGTCTGTGGCAGGCACAGGATGGCTGATTCAGCCATGTGGGCTACCTTCAGCCCTGAAACAGCTGCTGTCTCCTCCAGGGAAGCAGCGGTATGTCAGATGAAAGCATCACACTGGCCACAAGCTGAGTCACTCTCACCTAGGAGCATTCCAAGGGCCTTAGCTCTGTTTCCAGGGGAGCTCACAGCCCTCTCCCAACAACTAGTGCTGTATGGCTTTACAGACAGTACAATACTTGGGCCAACCTCAGCGTGTTCCTTCCCTCCATGCCCCATCAGTACACACTACCAAAGGGATTGTCAGTGGCTTGTAGATATGGGAGAACTGGATCAAAAAATCCTAATTCACATATTCTTTCCTCCCAGCCTATCTTTTCTTGCTTCAATTAATCCTTTTGTCAGTCACTGCAGCCTGCGTTGTCTGAAACAGAAACTGCTACATACATTTGTTAATGTGTCAGTTCTAAAAAAAGTATATAATCTTATGCCAATTTTTTTTTAATAAAAGATAATAAACAGCTGCCATCTAAGTTATGAATATAGAAAGGACTGGAAAGTAGCTTGAGTCACACACAATTTGCTTGTCATTATAGGGGAATGGGTATCACTTAATTTCTTTGATTCTATTCCCCACAATAATTACATCCTCACTCATACATACTCTTACCTCACTCTTCTTACTATTAAGAACTTTCTTCTAAAGGTTAAATTTGGCTGACTTACAATACCAACTTCAGAGATCAGTGTGACGTACATGAGAGCACCATTAGTCTGAAGGATCAAGCTGTGGATATTGTAGGGGAGATTAGCTGATTTCAGAGTCCAAGCACCCTTAGAGAAGGCAAGCATTCCTTTAAATAAGTCCACTTATGAGAAGAACTGCTGGCAATACTGACCACACCCTGCTTCCCAGACATAAACACTTCTACAGCAAGGCCAACTAAGCAGGGACTGAAGTGGAAAAGAAATTTTCTGTGCAAAGCAAGCATTATAACAAAGCATGTATACAAAAATAAAGTGATTGAAAAATCAAAGTAAAATCTTATCCTGTAATAATTTGCCAAGCAGAACTTCGCTCCTCCACTCCCCAAAAAAAGGAGAGACAGAAAGATACCACACAGTGCATTTAGAGACATCTGTTGCTGTGTATAGTACAAGACATTATTCAGAGACTATCTGGAACTCCAAGGTGCACAGCTATGTATTACTTACCCCAACTTATTCAGAAGTTGCAGCATTATAAGTACACAGTTTTCTGCCAAGTTGAGCCACAGGCATCTTAGTACTCAGTACTCAGACGTGTGTACCAATTTTAGGAACAGAGGTGTTCCCTAAGGACTTCTGACAGGTGATTCATCGTCACCTGTCATGTTGTGGTGAAGATACTCTGATCCTCTCTGAATCAATTCCTGTTTTGGAATCTTGATAAGTTATCTGATAAAAACATTTTGTAGTAACGCTTTCTAGTAATTGGTTCTTAAAGCTTACTTTTTCAGACCTCTCCTTTGATAGTCTGTAATGCCATAGACTGTCTTTGAAAAGTGAATAATAATGGAGAGCTTAAAAGAGACTGGTAAAATTTATGAAGTTGTAAAACTGTACTTGATTCCTCCTTCAGTCTGTTTTCTGAAAGCGTGCTGAATTTTAATAGTGAAGATATCTTAGGGCTTTGAATGAAAGATTCTTTTACCTCTCCAGCCACAGTTTCTACTGCTCAATCCTCATTGATATTTCACTGCCTTCAAGATGACAGGATGTCTAAAATTTTTCCCAGGTCTCTTATCAACAGTGTTCTGTGACATTTAGCCCCAAAATTGCATACCTACTTCTTTTCCTTCTCGAGTTTCCTTTTCAGATGTATTGGGGAAATCAGTTCTATATGGGGTTGCAGTCATTGTGATCCAGAAGTTAACCAAGATGCCTTTTTGCAGGCAGATGTTCTATTCTTCTGTTCATTTCCTGTTCATAGTAGTTGCATATAGAAGCTTCCTGAAAATTGAGTCCATTTCCCTTCCTCTTTTCCCGAGGAGTGACTAAGTTGTAATTGATGCTTCTGAAAAAAAAAATATTTTTATTACTTATGATGCAGTTTCAGATTCCACCAGCCCATTAACTCAGAATAAAGTACTATGCATTCTGTCTCCTCAGCTTCTGCACAGTGACATTTTACCAGAAGTGAAGCAGATAAGAAATTGAAACTAGAGAGTTTTACAGACCAGAGTAGTGACACTTATCTTGTTCTTCCCTCCCCATGGCCCACTTTTCCAGCCTCTATATCCTTTCCTAGATGCAACAATAATGACCCTCAGAAATTACATTTTACATATATTCAAAATGAAAATACAGGTATTAGAAATCACTTGAGATTTTAAATAAGTAAATAAGATGAAAAAAAAAAAGAAATTTAAGCATGTTCTAGTTTCAGGAGACATAACAGAAAAAACACCACTCTCACTAGGATAGCTTCTAGGATAGACAACAGATGGCCTTGCTACATTTAGCGTGCTTGGAAATTGTTTGCTCTGTTTTCTGTTTGTTACAAGGGAAAAAACAAACAAACTGGAAATAGTTGCAAAAGACTACTCAAAAGGCTTCACGCCAATCGTACATAAACCAGCATGTCTGATATAACCGAAAACAACTTCTATAGTTGTGAGAAGGTATAAATATTACAGGACATGTGCAAGAACACATGAGCTCTGCTTGCAAACTAGAAACAACAAGAAAAAGTCGATGTTATCACCCCTGTGTATTTCATGACGCCAGTCAATGACAGCTTGCAGGTGCTGAAGCCACAGATGTTTTGATAAGTCAAAAAAAATTGCAGCCATCAGCTCAGCAAAATAAACTTTCTGGAGGCACGTGGTTATGCCTCTTCTTCGAAAAAAAACAGTGAAAAAGCACAATATAACTTATGTGATTAATAACAGCTAGTTAAATATGTAGCTGTGTGAACTGAAGCAAGAGCTCTTAAAGTGAGAATGTGGAGAGGTGCTATGGCCATTTGAGTACTTAATGTCATGTATCATGTCTTCACGTTCTGCTTTAGGAAAAAAATCATCACTGTCTCAAACTGTAAATACTTGATAGCCAGGTGATCAGTGTTTAACATCACTTCCCACCCTAGTCAAATCCATATCTGGTAATTGCTGACACATTCATAGTAGCTCCTCGAAATTATCACTACAAGAATTTGGAAAAAAAAAATAGGCATAAATGGCACTAAAACAAAGTATTTCAGCCACACATCCTCCATCTGCTGCCTCCATTTATGGATAATAGTGCAATTTGCAGACAATAGTAACAAAACTTTTCTCTAGAGATTTATTTATATCCCTGTATTTCCTGGATTATGGCTTGAACTTTCTAGTGCAATAAGTGCCCCAGAGAAACACTAAGTGCAGCAATTAAGAGAGGAGTTCATTTTCCTGCCCAAGTAATCTCTGCCTCCCCTGCCATCAATAGAAGGAACACCTTAATACCAGACGGTACTGTGAACTGAACCTTCCCTTCCCAAGCCACCACTCCTACTATGGGGACAGTAAAACTGCAGTTTTGTTTACTCAAATAGAAATATTTCAGCTACTCACATCTCTGCCTACAGACTAGACAGACTACTGTGTTTTAGTAGGCCTGACAATTTCAAATTATGTCCCAAGTCCACTAAAAGAAACAAAGATCAGGTTACTGACACACCTTGCCCAAAGCAGAAGTTTTGCCTTTCCCAAGCAAAACTGAGACAGTATTTTGTTTCTTTGTAATTTTTTTTCCTATATTAATTGATATAGACAGAATACACACTTGGTGATGTCCTGTGCTTCTTGTATCTTGACTAATCTTCCATTGTCATGTATCCTAGATTACAGGTCTCTGCTGCCTATGCTGAATACTAAGGTACTCAGAGCAGCAGCTGAAAGGAATAGAAACAACCAACCAGAACTGACACAAGAGCTTTTATTGCCTTTCATTCTTATTTTTCCATGTGCATTTAACATCCAGCAGGCCACAAAATGAATGACAGGAATTAAATTGTTTGACTGCCAGATTATATCAGTGGCAGTTTTTAGCCACTCAAGTCAAGAGATCATGACACAAGCAAGTGATTCAGATTATGCAGTGCACATCTTTCTGCATTACCTACTCTCAGATATAAGAAAGATTCAAAAAGACAGAAAACTCATCTAAGTGACTGCTAAATATTGAATGTAAACAAAGCCAATATATGGGAACTTTGTCTACCAAACCCAACCTAAAAGGAACAGGGATTCTGCAGACAATCTGTTTGAAAACACCCAATGTGTTTGCACCTGCCCATCATTTTGTTCAGTTCTGTAAAATAAAGATACATTACCAACAGGACAGATGACATCCTGAAGTATTGAAATTCAGATCTCAATGCTGCCATATTGTCTTCACAGTCCTGAAGCTATGATATCAATTTGCTCATTGTTACAGTGAAATCCCATTGTTTCTGTGTTGCATATGTTGCATACACTTTCACATTAAAGTGTGGTTGAGAAACAGAATCTATGCAGAGTTTAGCACAATGAAATATTTATCTCCAAATGCAGATCCCAGCCTTTATTATGATATGAATAATAAATGTAACTTGAGTTATGACCTCCCAAAGACCTGGTTACAAGTCCATTTTTGTCTGTTTAGCAGAGCGTTTCATGATTACAGCCACTGTATTTTTTTACTTAACAATAAAGCTTGTATTTTAAAAAACTTCACCTGTCTATATAAGGGTTCTTTCACCCCTTGCAAAAGTACACCACTTTATTAAACTAAACTACTTATTAAAATATATTAGGAAATATATATTAGGAAAACCTCTCTCAACTCAAAGTTGCTATTAGCAACTTAACCTAAAGAGCAAGTTTCCCCAGTGGGTGACAAGTCACTGACATCCATAAGTCCAACTTAAATAAAGAGCAAAAGAATTGGCTCTTGTCGTACATGATAGCCTGACAGAGGAAAACAGCAAATGAAGAATCGCAGATTCTCATGACAAGGACCTGCAAAGACACCTTCTATGTTCCTCAGACATAGACTCATGAAAACTTTCACAAGCATCTTAATAAAACAGAAAACGTTTACATTACAATCTGCCTAGCTAACCTTAATAGAGAGGGAAAAAAGGAGAAAACAAACAGCTAATTTTAATAGTGAGCAGAAAGAACAAACAACAAACATCATTTCTTTGCCTTGTCACTCCTAAGCTTTCCCTGATTCCTTTATGTAACTGAAGATAATTTCTACATATATTCAAAGTGCTACTTGACTAAGACCTTAATCCAGACATGCTATCAGTTCTGGAACTCTCCTTCTCATGCCAAAGATGTCTTAAAGGCAAGAAGAACAAAATTAAGTAAGCAGACATAAGACAGTAAGCCAAGAGCATTTGTATTTAGTCACCTTGGAGTTGTAAGTACTTTTAGCCTCTATTTAAGTATATGTTACTTTCAGAACATTACCAAGAGTGATGATACAGGGAAGAGACTTCTACATAAAAAGCCTTGTGCTTTTTAAGGAAGGCTTCCAAGGAAAACTGTGACTACAATACTAAGCTGCAGTTAACTTCTTGGTAATATGGACTTCACATCTTCCACTGTGTATCACTGTCTCTTATAGAGTGAAAATGCCAAAATGTTCAGAAAAAAAAAAAAGGAAAAATGAGAAATGACATAGTATTTAAACTCACTGTTTAGGCTAAAAGTTTCCATAGGGCACACCTCCAAGTGGTGGAAAACTGAATACCGAAACTACCATTTCTTAGTCTTCTGAGTGATGAGAGCTTTCATTACAGATAAAATGTTGACAGCATGACACCATTCTGTGAAATAGTAAAAATACCTTCCCTACACCTGGTAGCATGCATACCTGCTTCTGGTTGTCAGAAGATGCTACTGAATGGACTTTCCAAATTTCCCTGCTATAGCCAGCTATGTCACAGAGCACCTTCATAGCCTGATTAAACAACTTCCCTGAAATCATCAGGGGAGAAAGGAATTTTACTCAGTATTTTTCCTGGAAGAACATTGCAGAACCTCAAACCTCTAACATTTAGATGTTTCTGATTTCCTGACTAAAGGCAACTGTGATCCAATTTATTTTCACATTTAATTATTCAGCCAGGAGAGGGAGGGAGGAGAGGGTATCCCTGCTATTTTTCAACAGATACATCTGTATTAACTTTATTTCGTCTAAAACTTGGCATTATTAGGCTAAACAAAGTTATACTATTCCTTCTTTCTTAGGACAAAGAGACTTCATTTTAGACTGCTTGTCCTTGTAGTTTTTTGTCTTACATTCCAGTGTTAATTCACCTTTTTTTAAACAAAAGCAATTGTATACAGAGATAACAGTATACAGTATCTGTATTTGTAGGACAAATACATGAATCCTCATTTCTACCCACCCAATTCAAAGCTATTTCTTTCCATGGCTGTTTCATGCAGTCAGCTCAGTCATTTTGCTACTAGTAATTGAGTCTCCCCTCTCCCCTGTTACTGTCATTGTGGACAGGTAATTTCCCAGTTTATAGCAAATATTCTTGTATCTGGTACAGATATTGTGTTCTATATCACTAAATTGACAGTTTTTACAGGTAGGATAGAATAGCTTTTCTCATACATTCATGAGACCCTTCGGGGAGTGCAATCTTTTCTATCTTTGGAGCATCATTTTACCATTTAGTTATTAGCAAGAATATGAAATAGAATTTGTTAACATCTCCACTGAGGAGTCCTTGTTATTATTCCTTCTCCAGAAGCATAATCTCCCAGTAATAACAACTGTGGTCCTCTAGACCACTTCCCAAGTATGTTTATAATTCCCACATTGGTACCAATTTTAAAATTACCTAACAAGCAAGTTTATATTATGCTAACATGCCCTTTCTCAAGCTTCTTCCAGGTCTGCAGCAATGGCATTCATACACTTTTCTTATTATACAGTAATATTGCTTTTCTCATAACATAGTGCCAGAACCCAAACCACAAAAATGCCAATTTTCTGCACATTGAGAGGACTGCTGAAAATGACCGTAAG